TATATGCATCTAGAACACTATCGAATCTCCCCTTTTCGATAGTTTTTCTTGTCTAACCGGCCATCTGGTCACTTGGATAAGAAAAAACGACACAAAGAACTAATTATTTTAAAAATATTTAGGAACTAGTTACATAAGTGATATTTTAGATCATTTATTTTTGATATTATGAAAGGATATAACAAAATTATAAATACTTACCGAGTTAATTATAATTTTTTCGTTAGACGTGGTTTCACCGTGACGTTGTTGTTTATGTTTTATAACGAAATTAATCACACATCTACCTCGGCTATTCACTTTTATACTCCGATTTTTAAAAAACAAAGAACAAAACAAAAAATAAGTAACTAAAATAAGCTAAAAGTAAACGAAAGAGACATGCCCTCACTTTCTTACATCACCTTGCGGCGAATACTGACGATTAGGTCAGTTACGAACTGTACGCGCACACCGTCGCTTTAGAACAGTATCGATTGTAGCTTATTCGATAATGTTTGTCGCTCATAGTGTGAAGTACCAAAAATATTCAATTTAAAACTTCCCTTAATATGATTTTTTTTTTACCAAACTGTATATTTTTCTAATAGTATATATCATATAATCTTACAATTGATGCAATAAAAAAAATTAGATTTTGCAGTTTCGATACTGTTTGTTGCTGCAGTCATTATGTGACCCTTATGTGGCCAGAGTGATTAGAACATTATTGTCATAATTAAATTTTTCTTTAACATTCTTCTATAGAAATGTCCCTAAGTGCATTTTATATACATAACTGTTATTAAATTTAACTATTGCCACATTCTACGCTACCTTTCCTATCTTTGTGCCCCTCCTATACGACCGCCTGTGACTAAGTAAGCAGGAAAGTAAGTAAGAAACATAAGTCATGGTAAACAGTAAATACTGTTGAATAAGGAGGTCTTGAAAAACGGTGTGGAGTATCCAAAAGATTTAAGAAAAAACTAAACATGTGCTGGTATTAATAAACATTTATTACAGATAACACTATAAATTTATTATAAATACTGTTGAAAAAAATTAATTCCTAAGACCCTATTTGTGTATTTATGCAACCTCTTATTTTGATTTTTTATAAATAGATGAAAGGTTATCGACATAGGGACTTGCAACTTTAACCTAGTAACTTACAATTACAGATGTGCCATAATTTTTATGCGATTTAATATTATAATAGTGTTCGCTAAATAGCATATCCAGCGACAAATGAACATTAAATCTCTCGTGCCAAAGTTTCATAAATAACACATGTTACGTAACACTACACAATTTAAGATTGAAAACACATGATTATCGTATATATCATTTTATTTATGCTATAATCGATTACTTCAAATGTTAATGTAATTTATAAATTAAAAATCCTTACCGCGAAATATTATCATGATTCATGAACTTTCTTTGAATGGCAGACGCCATCTAGCCAGTTCATTGTGAACTGCTCGAAAACGTTTGTTATTTGCTTTACGTGCTGACACAAAGAATATTTTGCTATCTACATAATGCCTATTTACGCAATTATTTAAACAAAATTTTTCAAGACTTTATCAATTTACACTTTTTTTACAATCATATAAGTTTGTAAATTGCATGAAAATTTTTCAAAATTTCCTTTCTTTTCCCTTTCGTCATTATCACTACTAACGCCATCTATTAATATCCACAATAATCATTTCAAAAGCTAAGTGACTAGGTATAAAGTTTTACCACTACTATCTCAATAGAGACCGCTGAAGAGTCAGTTTTACCGACACGCCGATAATAATTTAAGCCGCAAATTCGGATCGGGCGGCGGCGACGAACGGTGCGTACAGCGGAGCGTTCAAAGTTTACGTGTGTTTTGTCCGTTTGTGAACGTCCCGCTGAACGCACCATCCACGTTCCGAATTTGGGGCCTTATGTCTTATAGGCACTGCGGACAATATTACATTATATCATTATACTATGTATTTTTTTTCCATCCTCTAAGCATTATATTAACATTACAAATCTCCACTTTAATGGGTAAAAATGATAAAAATCAATCCCAAAAACCAATAATAAACAATTAAATTTTTTTAAGATTTCATCGAATTTACCTAAAACTAGTATGATGATATTGAAGTATTATAAAAACACGGTCTCTCAACTCCCCTATACCTATCTCAAATCAAAATAGTAACAAGTTTCTGAAACTTTAAATTCTTCCAATAAAGTTCAATCTGTTTTTCCCGACAGAATGTGTATGATTTTTTATGAAAAATAGACGAATGCCTGGCCGCAATCCTTAGAAAGGACATGTTATGTTGACATATATAAATCAGACGATATATGTACATATATGATGCATTTCGACGTTGAAAACATAAACATGTTATTGTCTTTATTTAACTCTTGTGTGCCGTCTTAAGCCAAAAGTGATAGCATTACACAAATTTAGGAAATGAAACTATTTTTCCGGATTTAAATCGCGTATATTTGTTT